TGTTTTATTTCACTTTTGGTGGCTGCTACAAGGTTAGTGCTGCCACCTTTTACGATAGGAAAGATTTAGCCATTCAACTTCTGAGTAAAGCCCATATGCAACCTAAAAACAGAATATTCTTAGTAGTGGCACGGGTAAATATTTTAAAGTTAGGTAACTAAAATAAACAAATAAATGAAAAGGATTGACTTTCAGATGAATGGGAAAAACACAACACTTTCCCTTTCACTCTGCCTACAATATACATATTCTCTCATCCATTCTGAAAACTATCCAGATCAGAATGTCCTTCTTAATGGCGTTTTCTGTTTCTCAGAGCTGAACACAGCAGAATCAATCCTAATCTTGTATCAGTGACTTTTTAGAATAAAAAATTAAAAACAGACATTCTTAGTTTGGGGCAAGCACACCTGTCCCTCAACCCAGAGTTCTTATTTACTAGACTTCAGGCTACAGGTATATGTGAAATTTCATGAACTTACATCAAATCATGCAATGAAGAGCACTGTCTCACAGTGATAGTGGAAAGGAAAGAGGTGGCTTCCTTTCAATTCTATACAGCCAAATCCACTGCCTTGAAAATGCTGAGCTCGACACTATTCACAATAGCCAAGTTATGGAAATAGCCAAGATGCCCCACTACTGACGAATGGATCAAGAAAATGTGGTATCTATACACAATGGAATTTTATGCAGCCATGAAGAAGAACGAAATGTTATCATTCACTGCTAAATGGATGGAATTGGAGAACATCATTCTGAGTGAGGTTAGCCTGGCCCAAAAGACCAAAAATCGTATGTTCTCCCTTATATGCGGACATTAGATCAAGGGCAAACACAACAAGGGGATTGGACTTTGAGTACATGATAAAAGCGAGAGCACACAAGGGAGGTGTGAGGATAGGTAAGACACCTAAAAAATTAGTTAGCATTTGTTGCCCTCAATGCAGAGAAACCAAAGCAGATACCTTAAAAGCAACTGAGGCCAACAGGAGAAGGGGACCAGGAACTAGAGAAAAGGTTAGATCAAAAAGAATTAACCTAGAAGGTAACACACATGCACAGAAAATTAATGTGAGTCAACTCCCTGTATAGCTATCCTTATCTCAATTAGCAAAAACCCTTGTTCCTTCCTATTATTGCTTATACTCTCTCTTCAACAAAATTAGGGATGAGGGGAAAATAGTTTCTGCTGGGTATTGAGGGGCTGGGGGGGAGAGGGAGGGGGCGGAGTGTGTAGTAAGGGAGGGGGTGGGGGCTGGGGGGAGAAATGACCCAAGCATTGTATGCACATATGAATAATAAAAGAATAAAAATTTAAAAAAAGAAAAGAAAATGCTGAGCTCGAATTCCTGAGCTATGTTTGAGAATTCAAATGGGTTCAAAACCATCTCCTCGAGCTTCTTGTCTGTGTAGCAATTGCATCTATTAGCTATCTTTTTGCTTGCTTGTTTTTGTTTATTATGGTTCAGGAAATTAAACCCAGGGCTTTACACTGAACTACAGCACTTTACCACTGAACTACATTCCCAGCCCTATGAACTATCCTTTGACCTTCAGCCCTAAGGATGCTCATGTTTCTAGTATTAGATGTTCTTGAAAAATGTGTGAATGATACTTGAATTGCTAGCAATATACTCAGAACTATAAGCTGTCATTCGTGAGACTTTATTCTATAACATGTCTTGAAATACTGACCTTGTCTAAAATCTGTTTTAGAAATTTCACAAGTTTTTCCGAGTCCAGAGCTAGAAGGGAAGTCTTAGAACCCAGACACAGAGCCAAATCTGTGATCAAAACAAATTTTCCAAATAATATTGACCTAATGTCTTGAATTCCATAGACTTAGCAGGATTGGAGACTGGAGATAGTTCTGAGAATAATTTAAAATTTAGAAACACTCTCTCAGAGTAGATTTCTCTGAAAGAAGCAAAGGATAGAGAGAAGGATGGCTGACTCCCATACCTTGGCAAGACTAGAGCAAAGGAAGGTTTCTTGCATGTACTAAAAAATGATGACCTCTTGCCCTGACAATGTGATAGAATCCATGAGGGAGAAGCTCAATACAGAATTCAAACTCTTACAAAGGGAGAGAGGTCAGCCACTTTAGTATTAAAAACTTCATCACAGAGGCTGAAACCAACAGCAAGAGTCTGGCCATGGCTGTTGGCACCTGAAGTGCAGAGAGTTGGGAAACCAGAAAGCAGGAACCATGTCTTTAGACTGTAGCGAATCATAACAAGACAATGAGACTTGCTAACAGGTGAACAACCACAGTTGTTTCTTCTCTGGTCCCAAATTTATGATGACTAAATTTGTGAGCTGACTTTGGCTTTGTTGTTCACATGTCTAGCTTGCTCCCCAGCTGCCCTGGTGGGAGGTAGCAAATTTGAATGCCTACAAGGTCCAGCCAAGCAGAATAAACAAGTGGTATGGATTCTTTGGGAAGTGTGAATGCCCTATTCACAAGGGAAGTTCTTTTCTGTACCAGCTGCTATTTTCACGTAGGAGTGTGGGACCTAGCTATCCACTTATCCATGAGAAGCTGGACATCTGGATGTTTTAAATTTAAAATCTCCCACATTTAAAAGGTAGACATAAAAGAAAAATTACTAGTATTAAGAAAAACAAAATGTGAAAATGGTCAATTTTGATGTTTATTTTGCTCGAAGGGAAAAATAATTATAAAAAAAATAAAAAGGAAAAGGAATAAAAAAAAAGTATAGGCCAAATAAAAAAACTACCTATGCCTTATTTTCAACTTATGCCCTAGTACAAGGTTTAGTGTTACCTTCTTTTCACATCAATTCCCATTTTTTCACACTTTAAAAAACTCTGGGCCCCAGCACCCAGACCCTGCAATCTACCACAAGACTACCCTAAGAATAAGTTTTGGAAAATCTAACAGCAGTCTGACCCTGGACCTTGCCAAATTGTCAAGATAGCCTCTATTTCCTTTTGTTGGAACCTCAAACTCCAGCAATTAATACAGGCTCCTTACAAGTGTGCCACCACCCCCAAGGGTTTCTGGGGTCTACCTGTGCCTAGGTTTGCTCTCTGCCAGGCCCTAAGCCCTCTCTATCTCTCCTGTCACACCACAGGTTCATGAGGCATCATCAATCTGTTCTCAGGTGAAATAATAACTATAAGTGTGTATCTCAGCTATTTGCTGTGTTTGGGCACCATGCTAAGTGTTTGATATGACTTATCCTAATTTGTGATTCTAATAACCCTGCAAATAAATATAATTCCACAAGGAACCTGAGGTCAGAATGACTGCACATCTCACTCAATTTTGCACAGTCATTAAATGGATGATCTGAAATTCAAATTCAAGTTTAAAGCCCATACCTATCTACAGTCCTAAATGGGAGGTGTAGACAAGAGAGATGTGTCTATGGAAGGGGTTGTTACTATACTTTCCTGCTACTCTCCTTCAAATTATATAATTTGAACATTCACATTATCAATTTCCAATTTTTAATTTTCTATGTGCAGTTACCTGCAGTTCACAGGTTTGGGGATTTCACGGGCTATAATATTTCAATATAATTTTAGGGGCTAACATAGGACTACAAATTTTTATTTTTCCAGGTAAAAGATACTGCTAAACCTATAAGTTAGTATCATTATCATTTCATTAAATTAAAAGCATTTCAGTAACACAGGCTGACATACACATGCATGAGTACATGTAAACGCACATGAGTACACAGAAATTAGTAGCTTCATGAAATAGGGACCGCTGCTTACCCTTGCCCTCATGCACAGTGGATGTGTACATGTCCATGCATAGGGAGCTCCCCGACTATGATTGTGTGATGCTGTAGAGGTTTTCTGGGAAGGCCATCCTTTACAACTTAGAAAAAACTTATTCCAAAAGTTATTTTTGGAAAAAACTTATTCCAAAAATGCTATAAGTGTTTAAATGATGGCTGGATCCCAGAACAGAAGGTAGATCTTGAATAGCTTCCTTTTAGAATGGATCTGAGGCAACTAAGGCTCCAGGAAACTGAATGATTTCCTTAAATACCACACAAGCCCTTGCAGAGCTACAACTGTAGATGAGAATTATCTTGTTAGCTACTTCAGTTATTTTATTCATCACCAGAGACAAACATACTATAGTACATTGTTTTAACAGAGTTATTGGTGAAATAAGGTGGGGGGGGATTGTTTTGAACACTTATCACTATTTGAAATATGGCTTGTGAAAAAAATCTGTGACAAAATCGAGGAATACAGATGTAACTATCAACACAGACATGTTCCCTTTTGCACAGCCTGTCTTGTCCAACCATCAGAGCAAGTAAATACAGTGTAATCCTCTGAAGCAAATATGCTCCCATTATCCAGAAAGGAATACTCCTTTGATTTTACATGTGAGAAATCTATAAATCTGTGTGGTCTGAGCATGTTTACATCCACATCTGCAATTAACATAAGACTGAAACTAGGTCAGCAACATGTTACCAGGGAATAGCTATTAGCATTACCCTTAATTGAAATCCTACTTGCTTTTCTGTTGGCTTATCATCCTCCCTATGTTGTAATGAGAACCACCACATGAAAAGATCAGTTGAGTCTGGAAGTCTGCAGAGAAACAGGAGTGTGCAACCACACAAATTTCTACAGTTCAAATATATTATCTCTTTCAGAGATATAATAATAAATATGTCAAACTAAGGAATCACCAGTTTAAGGAACAAATGATTTAAAATGACCACAGAGGTTATAGACCTCTAAACAATGAATTTGATTATAATTATTTCCATTATATAATTCTTAATCCAGTCTCCCTAGCGAATTGGAATATATATGTATATGTACATGTATGCATATATGACTTTGAGCATTATATATCATGAGTACCTTATATAAGTGATATACATATACATATATACATATATAGTGTAATCTAAAGTATATGGGTAATAATGGCAGAATTCATGAGATCAATCCAGAGAAAGTGTTTCTTTATATGAAAAGTGACAACATACTTGAGAACTTCAATTTTCTTCTCCATTTTCCAAGGTTTGCATTTGACAGTAGCAATAGTTTGTTTCTTCTCATCTAACTCTGCCTTTAATCTTTCCAATTCTGCCTCATCAATTTCTTCTTCTTCTTCTCTTTAGAAGAAAAAACAAAACACAAGTTTAAGCCTTGCTCGACTTCAAAATGTAAGAAAGACTAACATCAGATATTCAAACTTTTTTTTTTAACTTCACTACAAATAGTCAGTGCTAAGACCCATAAGCACTGGAATTTATATCTGAACATTGACGCAGGATTACTGGAATTATTATAAATTTAAGCAGTAGTACTTGTATTCTGATATTCTCACACTAAATTGTTCTTTTATGTCTCTAGCCTCAAGCTGTCAGAACTAGAAAATCTATGAAAATAAGAAATACAGATTTATCAAGAATTTCCCTCTCCTCTCTGTTCCCTTGTGCATCTTCCCTCACCAATTCATATTTCACTGAAAAACTTTATTTTCAATAAATAAATTAAAGGTAAAACTGTCTTTGAACTGCCCTTAATGTTTTTAAATTTGCTGTGTCTCAAGAGAAAGAGGGAAAAAAGAAATGAGGAAAATGAAAAACTTATTTCTCAAAGGTAACCTGATCTGTTAATTAAACTCAAAACTTCAATTGATAAAACTCAACCTGTAATATATTTGATGGAAGCAAATTCTTTGAAGAGACCTTCAAAGAAATTTAATTTCTCGAGCAATTGAAAAGTATCTTTTCTGTGTTCCTACTATTACAAAAATAGAGCTCTAAGAAAACAAAATCTAAACATGAACTATATGGCTGTAAATGGAGGAATGTGACACTAATATTATGAAAATCAATTTTTTGGTAATAGATTCAGTTATCAAGCTATTGTCTCAATTTCAAACACATTCTTTTATACTTAATATTGTGCTAGTAAATCCAAGATTCTGTAAGTCACATTTTTTATTTATCAATTGGCTCAATTTTTTGGACTATAGGAGTTACAAAGAAGGAACTCAGTCTTTCCTACGGCTTCTTGTCTGCTTCCTGTCTGCTTGCTGTTTGCTTCCTGATGTGATACATCCTCCTTAGCAAGACTTCTTCACTCCAGGAATTGAAGGTCCATTTCATAACTATTAGTGAATCTAATCTGCTAGTTCTGCCAGCACTAGCAGAACCAGCATCACCACCTCCTCCATAGGAGCCAGCACCTTTTGCGCATCAGTCCCTTTGCAGACATCTGAGTTTCTGCTGCCTGGGTTTCTACTCTATACTTCAATTCAATCCTTTCCTCCAGTCCTTGGATGGTAGCTGCTTCATACAGTTGCTATCATCATACTGTAGTTCTCTGTTTGCCTTTTCAATAGCCTAGTAAATAATTATTTATAACTCCTAATAATTCTCTTATTAAATTCTCTTTGTTCAATTAATGGAGTCTCTCTCCTCACTCGCCCCTGACTGACTAAATAGTTGTAAACTATTTAGTGCTACTCAGAAACAAATTTCAGTGTTCAATAACCTCATGCCTGTAGTCTATTAAGTACTAGTTATTAGTAAACTCTACTAAGATACAATTCTGATTACCACTGTGTTATTTCTGTTTTAATTGTTAGGTATTTATTATATAAAATTCTACGGTGCTACCTAATCATGGAACAAACAACTTGAGGATACTTTTTACTACATCTTTATTCACAGTTGTTTCTTTCTAACTTGCCATTGGAATAATACATAGATTGGCTTATCTTAGAAAGGAAACCCTTGTTTTAATAGAAATAATTTAAATTATTTCTATGTAGATGTACATGTAAACCTAAATTTTGTTGATTTTATTTGCTGAAAACAAAGAAAACTAACAAAGTTAAAAGAAAATTACATGCCAAGAAACTGCTAAAAATGGCAGTTTCAATTAGCCAAGTGTAATGGCACATGCCTGCAATCTCAGCTACTTGAGATAGAATAAGGAGGCTCACAGTCTGAGGCCAGTCCAGGCAAAAGTGTGAAATCCTACCTAAAAAACTAAAGCAAAAAGGGCTGGGGGCATGTCTCAAGTGGTAGAGCAGTTGACTAGCAAGCATGAGGCCCTGAGTTCATACACCAGTACTGCCAAAATAATAATAGAGAATGGGGTCAATTACAAAATAAAAAATGTTTAAGATTGGTGACTGAATCATTTGCTATTCTAAGACATTAACTGGTCAATCTTTCCAAAATAATAAAGTATTACATTACCAAGCTCCCATTGAGAATCATAGAACATAATCAAGAAACATAAAACAGCATCTCATTTAACCCATTATCACTGAAGAAATAAAGAATGAGCTATTCGATGTGTATTTATCATAGTATCAAAGCTTATTTCTTTAAATGCCAATTTTCAGAAACCATTGAATAGAGATCTTTCTAACATTAATTATATCCTTTATATGCTTAAATTCTGTGATTTCAAAAAAAACACAGGAAATATCTTCACTAACTTCTTTACTTCTCTGAAACTTTAAACCAATTGGTACTTCTTCTTAGACAATAAGATTATATTATATTTATTATATTAATTACTATATTATATTCATATAATCTTTTATCATAATAACTTGCATCCAAATGGCTTTTCCCTTACTATATTATGAGTTTATGGATCTAAATAAATATTTATTGTGGAGATGTGTAAGTGCAGAACTTTCCTGGATGACCTTGGATTGTCATCCTGAAACCAGTGTTCAAATAAAAGTATACCAAACTATAACAATGATAGGAAGGACATTTCTTCCTATACTAAATGATCTCAGACTGGTATATTTTTAAAGACTTTGTTGTTAATTGTTGGTTGCTCCTAGGAGAATCATGTTGTATTTCAGGGTACAAGATTGACTGATAAGTTACCTTTAAATATGAAAGTAATTAAAGTATTATTATTATAGAAAAACTGCTTTTCTAAGTATGCTTTCTATCTTAAGCTTAATTAAGCAACAGTTGTTAGGAAAAAGAAGGCATAGTATGCTGAATTTCTCACTACTATGAATATATTCCTTATTTGCTTAAAACTAGGTCAGGGAACGCCTGTAATATTATTAGAAATGCTCTAAAATGTCTAACAAGGCAGTATTTTTTAACTGTTTCCAAAGATAGCATTGCAACTTCGGTTTTAATTGATTTCAAATGGTGTGTCAGTGCAAGGGAAATTCCCAGAGGCATTACTTGAACATTTAAACAAAAAAGACCCTGAGTTAGTTGATCAAAATAAATGTGCCCTGATTTGTCTACTAATTTTCTTCAGAACATATTTGCTAATAAGTTTTCTTTTTTAGTAAAAAAGATTCTTATCTTCAAAATAAACAATAGAAAATGGACCCTAAAATTTTCATCAGAACTATCAATCATCATAAATAATTTATGTACTATTTAGAATAGATGTACGAAGTATGGCCACAATATGTAATTTATAAAATCTGTGGAGACGAAGTTTGGCTATGTGGAGGATGGAATGTAGGGAGTCACACGTAGGGGCTAGAGAGCTTTTCAGAATTAAAATGAGATGGAGCCAGCTAAGGAGACACACTATACTAGGAACAAGACCCAGCTGACTCACATGGCCCTATTTCCTATGAGTTGAACATTTTCATGAGGACCCTAAGTGGACAAGGAAAGCAGGGAAATCCTTGTCCTGTTTAGAATGATTGTTCTAGGCATAAGTGAAAAAGGAAAGCAAATTCTTGAATACAACATGTAGCATACATATGTCTGTTGGTGACATTTTCTCAAGGAAACACCACTGTCATATACCATAAGTTTTGCTAATAGGATATATTCCTACATTATAATAGTACTAATAATCATAATATAGCACTTATTAAAATTGGGTTTCATTTTGTTTTGAAAGGAATAAAGCTTCTTGAAAAGAAAATATAAGTAAAAAATATCAGAGTTAAATTTAAAGCAAGTGTGGTGTCTTGATATTTGAAGAAACAGATGAAGCTTGGGAAAAAGGAAAAGAAAGAGGAAGAGGAGAGAAATGTAGAAACTTAAACATAAAGTAGGTGGGATTGTTTTTATTCTAAAAGGAAATAAAATGCTAAGCTTCTCTACCTGACAAAGTTTTCATATGATTGCATTTAATAATTATTAATTTTGAGGTCTAGTGTATTAGAATTATTGGACACCAGAGGGTGGCATCTTAGGAGACTATCTGAGAGAGTTCTTCATTATTTAAAGTCCAGAGAGCATTTGGTTCCACTGTCTTGCAGTGATTCACACAGCCCTATAAGTAGCAGAATAGGCTGAATCTTCTCTTTAATCCTTTCTAAGGAATTTAACTTTTCTATTATTAGATGTATTTTATAAGCTCACTTTTCCTCCCTGCCTGGCATTTGCAAACTTCCAGAACACCAAGAAAAGAAAATTATTTTCTTGGATCATTCCTGAACACTGTTTAAATATATTATTCTACACAGAGTCAGCAGTAAAATGTTGGAGCTAAGGATGCATTTGTTGCCCTTAACTCAGAGAAACTAAAGCAGATACCTTAAAAGCAACTGAGGCCAATAGGAAAAGGGGACCAGGAACTAGAGAAAAGGTGAGATCAAAAAGAATTAACCTAGAAGGTAACACACACGCACAGGAAATTAATGTGAGTCAACTCCCTGTATAGCTATCCTTATCTCAACCAGCAAAAACCCTTGATCCTTCCTATTATTGCTTATACTCTCTCTACAACAAAATTAGAAATAAGGGCAAAATAGTTTCTGCTGGGTATTGAGGGGGTAGGGGGGAGAGGGAGGGGGCAGAATGGGTGGTAAGGGAGGGGGTGGGGGCAGGGGGGAGAAATGACCCAAGCCTTGTTTGCACATATGAGTAATAAAATAAAAAAAAATGAAATGATAACCCTAATCCTCTATAATAGAGACCAGTGCACTTTATTTCTATAAATGTCCAGTTAACATTTTAGGCTTTGGATGCAATATACAACTCTGTTTCATATTCTTATTTGTTTTTTATTAATAATCCTTTAAAACTTAAAAACCATTCTTAGCTCTTGAGCTAGATTTAACCATAGTTAAATCTTCAGGAGTTTTTCACCTGACTTAGAAAATACACACAATTAGTGGGATAATCTCTAACTATTTAAATTTACTCTAATAGTTTAATGACCTATAACAATTTAAATTTTCCATAAGGGAATTTCTCATACTCCAATTTTACTATATATTCAAAATTATAAAAGTTAATTTAATGACTTGGAATACGTCTATAGGATCAGATCAAGCCCATCTTGATACCAATTTTCAGGCCAGTAAGTATCTACAGAGAGTGGTCTTCATTCAGAGTCAGGAGATTTTGAATCAACAATACTTTCAGTTATATAAAAAGACTAACTTACGCTCCTCTTCTCAATCTCCTTCTTCTTTCTTTTTCTCTTGCTTTCCTTGTTTCTTCATCCTCTGGCTCAGGTTCAGGGTCATCCTCCTTGATAACATCTCTGGTCCGTTTCCTCTTTGGTCTCAAGCTCTCTCTTCTAGGTAGTTTGTCTTCTTCTTCACCTGAATATAGCAGGTGTTGATTCCATGAGCAACCTCAAAAAGTATTCTGTCTTTCATTACTAAGTTTATTCTTACTTAAGCATTTTTATGCATATTTAAAAATAGAATAATAAAACCCACTAAAATTGGTTAGAAAGGGAAAGAGCAATAGAGGATTAAAGTTGATTTAAGCACATAATATGCATGTGTGGACATGTCACAATGAAAGCACTTTGTACAACTAATATGCACTAAAAAAATGAATGGGAACAATACATCTCCAAAAATAAAAATAAAAAATAACTAGCATAATGCATCTGAGACTACAATCCAGCAATTTTCCATACCACTATAGATATGGAACACAGATACGCTATTACACATATATCATTGCCTGCCACTTAAATAAATTCATCCAGATTTTCATTTCCTTTGGTTCATCTACCAAAATATGCAAATGTGAATCCCTGAATATTATTAATCCTTACAGCTCCAGTCTTCATTTATTCGAATAACTGGATAACATGGAGTTTAATATCATACCATGATCTCTAAACCCATACAAATCAGGTTCAAATTTAGAGTTTATCTATCTAATACACAATGGTTGAATTATAAACCATTTTGTGTTTGTTGCTACTATCTTAGAACAAAAACAGAAATCAAAAGGAAGTGCTACAACTCCAACAGTTTGTGAGAAATTCATTCAGCCCTGGAGATTCTTCCCAGTTCTACTTATCTATGGTATTTTCCTTATTTATGCATTTACTTTGATATGGGGGTCTGGCTATTTTGCCCAGGCTAGCCTTGAACTCCTGGATCCATTGATCCCCTGTCTCGGCCTCCCAGATACATGTCACCATGCTTACCTTATCTTTATTCTGTATTATTTTTATTCTTGACTCCAAATCTTTCTTTTTTCCTGTAATATTTTTTATCTCTTTCTTTAGAAAAATTAGTAGTATACACTAATTTTTAGTGTATACTAAAAATCAATAGTAATACACTATCGATTCACTGGTAAATTTCACCAACCATTTAAAGAAGAATTACTAGCAATCTTTCTGAAACACCTCAATAAAATTAAAGAAGAGGGAACACTTCCAAATCTATTATATGAAGCCAGTGTTACTATGATACCAAAGACAAAGACACTACAAAAGTGTCAGAATGTTTGTTTGTTTTTTTTTTTTGCCAGCACAGGGGTTTGAACTCAAGGCCTCACCCTTGCTAGGCAAGTGCTCTTACCACTTGAGCCACTCTAAACATTTGTAATTGTCATATTGTTCCCCCAGCCAGCACAACAATAAAAGAAAAAAATTTTTTAATTAAAAAAGACACTACAAGAAAGGAAACTGTATTCCAAAACTGCTATTCCTAATGAATAGAGATGCAACAATTCTCAACAAAATACCAGCAAATCAAATTCAACAACATATTAAAAAGACCATGACCAAGTAATATTTTATCCCTGAGATGCAAAGATAGTTCCACATACAAAAAGCAAATAATGTGACACACTACATTAACAGAATAAATGGTAAAGCACACATAATCATATCAATAGATGTGGAAAAGCATTTAACAAAACTGGACATTTTATATACAAATTTTCCATAAATTAAGAATAGAAGGAAATTGCTTCAACATAATAAAGATCATATGTTAAAACTAGCATTTTACACACATTCATACACAACAATGAAAAACTGAAAGCATTTCTCTAATATCAGGAACAAGGCAAGGTTCCCATACTTTCAACATCATAGTGATCATCCCAGTCAGAAATTAGGCAAAGAAAATAAAAGCAGAAAAGCATATAAATTAGAAAGGAAGAAATAAGATATATTTGCAGATGACATGATTTTATATGTTAAAAACACTGAAGATTCCACAAAAATCTGTTAGAACAAATAACTCAGTAAAATTGCAGAATACAGAATCAACACAAAAATAGTTACATTTCTTACAAATCAAAATAACATTGAGATTCCATTTCCTCCCAATCAGAATGACTACCATCAAGAAAACAAACAATAAATGCTGGAGAGGATGTGGGAGGAAAAGGAACCATTACACACCATTGGTGGAAATGTAAATTACAGCCTCTATGGAAATCAGTATGGAGGTTCCTCAAGAAACTAAAAATAGAACTATCATATGACTTTTCTATACCACTCAGGCATACACCTGAAGAAATGTAAGCCAACATTCAATAAGGATATACACACCCATTTTTTGCAGGACTATTCACAATAGCCAAGCTATAGAATCAATCTAAGTGCCAAAAAAACAATGAATGAATAAAGAAAATATGTTACATATGCACAATGGGGTATCACTCAGTCATAAAAACAAAGGAGTGAAATTATGTCATTTACTAGAAAATAGATGGAACTGGAAATTACCATGCTGACCAGAATAAGCAGTCTCACTCAGAAAGACAAATATCATGTGTTTTTGCTCATATGCAGAAGATAGACCTAAAAAATATTGATGATGATATGACATGATTATAAAAGGGGAACTGTTTGGAGGGAGAGCAGTGGGAATGGAGAAAGGGTGAAATGGGGTAAATATAATCAAAGTACTATATATATTATGCAAACAGCATAATGAAACTCACTAAAACTATTAAAACAGGGGAGGATAAGAAAGAGCAACAAAGGGGTGAATTTGATCAAAGTACATTATATGCACATATGGAAACATCACAGTGAAATCCCTTTGCACAATTAATTTACACTAATACAAAATTGGTCACATTTCTATACACTAACAATGAATGATCTGAAAAGGAATCAATTCCATTTAGAATAGCATGAAAAAGAAATATCTGCATGGAAACAACACAAGGAATCTCCCTGTAGAGCTATCTTCATCTCAAACTAGCAAAAATGCTATGCTTTTCTTTTTATCTAATATGTTTTTTTCTTCAATAAAATCAGAGAACAAGAGGATGGAACAGGTTCTGCCTGGAGGTGGAGGCAAGGGGGAGAGGTGGCCCAAATAATGTATACACATGTAAGTAAATGTAACAACAATAAAATAAAATTTTTTTAAAAAATAAAGTACTGGAAATAAACTTAACCAAGGAAGTGAAAACTTACACACTACAAAATGTTGATGAAATTAATTAAGGAGAATGGAAACATGTAACATGTCCAAAGATCAAAAGATTAAATATTATAAAAATTTCCATACTACTGACATGTTCAACATAATCCCAAAATCTTGATGGTATTTTTCATAAAAATGGAAAAAGAAACTAAAGTTCATATGAAATAAGAAAGGGTCCCAAATAGAGAAAGTAATTTTGAATAAGAATAACAAATATGGAGGCATCACACACTACCTAATTTCAAAATATATTATAAATAAACAGTAATGAAAATAGAATGTAACTGTATGTAAAAATACATACAGACCAATAGGACACAACAGAGTCTAAAAATGAGCTTGTGTATATATAGTCAACTGATATTTTAAGAAGATTGCCAAGAACACACAAAAGGAAAAATAATATCTTCATCAAATGTCACTGGTGAAACTGGATATCTACATGCAAAAGAATTAAATTAGATTTCTTATTTTACACCATATGCAAATATCAACTCAAAATGTATTAAAGACTTAACAGAATGTATTAAAGACTTAAGACTGTAGACTTGCTAAATTACATAAGGGAAAGACTTCACAAAAATGGTTTTAGTATGATTTATTGGACATGAAGCCAAAAGCATGGCCAAGAATATCAAAAGTAGTATGGGACCTCATCAAACTGCAAGCTTCTACACAACAGGGTGAAAGGCAGCCTACAGAGTGAAGTAAATATTTGCATCTGTATCAAATAAGGATTTGATGCCCAAAATGCATAAGGACCTCCTGTGACTAAATAATGAAATAAAAATAATGGCAATAACCAATTTTTAAATGAGTAAAGGTCTTTAATAGAAATTTTTGCAAAGAAGGCACACAAATGGCCAGCAGGTATATAAAGAAATGCTTAACATCACTAATCATTAGGGAAATGCAAATCTGAACTATAGTGTGATATTATCTTGCATGGCTATTATCAAAGATACATCACTACAATAAGTGATAGCAATGATGGGGAGAAACTGGAACCTTTGTATAATGCTGAACAGAAGGTAAAATGGCACAACCACTATGAAAAACAGCATGAAGTTTTCTCAAAAAAAAAAAAAAAAACAGCCAGCAATCCCATTCTTGGGCATTTATCCAAAAGAAGTTAAATTTAGATCTTGAAGAGATGTTGTCACTCCCATATTTATTATAGCACTACTTACAATAGCCAAGATGCAGAAATGACCTGAATGTCCACTAACAACTAAATTAATAAGGAAAATGTAGTATATACATACAATGGAATATTCAACCTCTAAAATGCAGGCATTCTGCTATGTATGACAATATGGTTGGACTTTTGAGGACATTACACCCCACGAAATAAGCCAGTCACAGAAAGACAAATACTGCATGGATACACTTATATGATGTATCTGAATTTTCCAAACTTAGAATCAAGAATGTAGAATGGTGGTTGCCAGAGTCTTGGAAGAAAAGAAAATGAGGTGGTTTTGATCAATAGTCATAATTTTTGTAAATATACAAGAAAAATAAGTTGTAGAGATCCACTGCACAGTATGGTGCCTACACAGTCAAGACACCTCTCTCCTATGTCCACATTCATGGACTCAACCAATCAAGATTGAAAACACACACAAAAAAAATTGTCTTCATTGCATGTGTTTAGACTTTTATTTCATCATTATTCACTAAACAGAACAGTATAATAACGATTTCCACAGCATTTACATTGCATTAGGTATTATAAGTAATCTTAAACTTCATTTTTTAAATGTAAGAAGGATGTGTGTAGGTCAAACAAAAATTTTATGCCCTTTTATTTAAGGGACTTGTATATACACAGATTTTGGTATCCACTGGCATCCTAGAACCAATCCCCTACAGATATTGAGCAATAACTTAATTGAAAATATTGAATTATGCATTTAAAAATTTAAGATAGCTGGGCACAGGTGACTCATGCCTGTGTTCCTAGCTACTCAGCAGGCAGAGATCAGGAAGATGAAGGTTTGAGGCAGTCCCAAAGCACCTGCCTAGTGAGCAGGAGGTCCTGAATTGAAACCCCAGTACTAAAAAAAAAATTGTAAGATGGTAAATCTCATATTATGTCTTCTTATAACAGTGAAAATAAAGATCTTGAAAACTTAATCAATTTGACCTAATTAACAATTTTACAACACTTTACCTAACAATGGCAGAACATACATTCAGGGCACATTGAACGTTCACTAGAATAAACCACATTCTGGGCCATTCAGAAGCACCAGTGCATTTAGAAGCACAGACACCATGCAAAGCATTAGTTCAACCACAGTGGAATTAAGTTCTAAAATAGTTTTTAAGAATTTATTTTTTCAGCATTAGGATTTGAACACAGGGCCTAATACTTGCTAGGCAGGCCCTCTACTACTTGAGCCATGCTTTTAGTTATTTTTTAGATAGATTCTCATGCTTTTTGACCAAGAGGCCAGCCAACTATCCTCCTACTGCCTCTTCCCCAGTAGTTGGGATTACAGACACACAGCACCATGCCCAGCCAGTTTTTAAGAATTTTTAATGATGTGATAGATGTATGGGGAGTATCCAGAAATAAATTTGCTTGATATCACTTTAAAAAACTTAAACTTAAATGGTTATATGATGGATAAAATGTGTATTATTACCTATTAATATTTAGAAACAAAAGTCAGTTTTTAATGCTTTACATAGATTCCAAATATTCAAATTCTGAGAAGTGAATGTTTCGTGGCTGACTACTAAATGCAGGCCTGTGTATACTGCTATCTTTTGGAACACTCTAGCTTCTCTATTTAAGTCATGGCACTAGGACCTGCGTGGGTTTCTGGGCTGTTTTCATCTAAGAATGAAAACAACAGACCATTGTGGGCACTTGCTACCACTCTGTGCCCGAATATTAAATTGTGTCTCTATGTTCTTCTAATTGAACTCTTCTTTAGATGATGCTCTTCCTTTCATTTTTAGTAAAATCAAAGCTTTTGCTGCATTTTTTGTCTTTCTCATGTTTATGCCCATGAATGGTCTGAGTGCCTGGAAAGAGGTCACAATTCATGGTCTTGAGCTGAGCCTACACAAAGTGAAAACAATAGAGTGATTCAGACAAAATAACCATGGATTTGGTACAAAAAGATATGTTCTTTCATTTTAATTGAACCACCTGGTCATTCAGTCAATAGCCAATCTGTTCTATTGTATAGATTCTGTCTTAGAGAAAAGCTGCTACAACAGAGAAATACTGGAGAGAAATAAAAAAGCAAAACTGTAGACTGTCATCTACTTGATCACAAGCAAGTTATGAATTGTGTGCTTCTGTGCACACTCAAATAGCAAGTAGAGTGAGGATTTGACTTGCTGGACTGGATCCCTTTGGTGAGACCATTTAAAAGCATTTACATACACTCCTATGCTTATATGTGGTAGTTCAAGTACACAAAAGAACAGGATGAAACCCATGAATTTACTGAGATTCACTGGAATTATATCCCAGGGGCCCATCATGCTTACTTGAGCTGTCTTCAGTATCATTGTCTTTCTCCTCCACTTGGATTTGCACTGTTAAAGAAAGAATAAAAATATAACAATCACGTAAATGCCTGTGTAATTGTTAATAATTGCTTTTTACTTTCTTTATTTTCATCATAGTGTTTTTGTGCAGTCAATAAAAACATTTTCAATAAACTTGTCAAAATGAACATTGTTTATTAAATATATACAGCCACAGCATCTTACACAATGGTATATGTAAAGATTGCTCTTTTATCACCTTCAGGGATTTGCAAAATGTATAGGCTATGAGCCTATCATCTCACTTCAAAGTAACTTCAATGAAATAAATTCTGTATTACGATAGCTATATTGGGGTTTGTTGGATCATTTCACTTTATGGAAGTTGAGTTGGTAGAAAAGCTATAACCACACGCTTAAACCAATTATTTTATAACACCCAAAATTGTTATTTATATAGAGAATAATTCATTCTAACCAGGTGTAACCAAGCATGAAAAACTCCAGAAAAATACTTAAAGTCTGATCTTTTATATTATTATATTAATTATATTAATGTTTATTATTTTATTACATATTATTTTAATATATTATTATATTAATATAGTCTTAATTTTCCAGAATCACCTTGACAATGTGGAAACAGGTGATTTTATAGTTCAGTATAACACTTCTGTTTATTCCCTACCCAGTGCTCACACATAATTGGTTTTCCATTTGGCTTCATTTTTATAAAAGTGTTATAAAAATTTTAATAGTACACACTGGACATGTGAATGTAGAGGTAAAGCAGCTATTTTGCAAGCATGAAGCCCTAAGTTCAAACCCCAGTCCCCAAAAGAAAAAATATTAATGGTATCAATATGAGAAAAATGTATTAATTGTTAAATTTTCCCTCGTTTTCACTAATGTCAATGTAACATCCATTGATAATAGGTTTAGTTAGCCACCCAGAGACAGCGCTACAACTTGCCTTGGTAAAAATTAGAGTATATTGTTCCTTACAATAAGTCTAGTAACTTGTTATAATATATAATTTTACTATGTTTTTATTTAAGTTGGAATGGCAGAAATCCAAAACAGCAAAAATGGCAAACAATGTTGCTGTGAGTGACTGAAACAACCTCACGTTTTGTTTCTCCTTTGGCTCTGTCAAAGGTTATTACTCAGAACCTGATTGGCATATTGAAAAGGCAACCCATGCCAAGAGTGTAAATTCCATTCACAAAGCAAATTATTATAAAAGTACTTTTTGCTTTTAAGCACTATCTGAATAAAAATTTTTAGAATATGCAAAAATGTTATCACTTAACAACAGCCTTGCAATGTGAAAATAAGTGTTCTTTTGTTCAGAGTGGACATGAGCCTTCTGTTACTGGTTGTAACTGTATCTGCACAGGACAAAGATTTTTATGTCACTACTGAGAGTTTGCAATAATGAAGGAGACACTTCTGAGAAGATATTTCACATTCCACAATAGGTCATGGTCTCTCATTTACAATTAATGCCACCACCAAGCTTCTTCAGTCAAAAAAGAATTCCCTAGGAAGGCATTTTAATGATGTAAGATTAGCCTTGCAGCAGGGTCTTATCCATATGTACCACATAAAAAACAGCTGAGGACAAATAACAAATGATGACCTATTCTGCAATACACTTATCAAAACCAGTTTAAAAAAAATTAGGACAATATATCATGCTAGACATTAATAATCAATTCACTGGGATATGATTAAATAGTTAATTAAAATAGGAAAATGATAAATTAGCAAAAACATAGCAAATAGGGAAGATCATATATTAAATAAAAACAGCAGAATCAAAACAAATGTCACAAGCCAAAGCAATGAACAACAACTCAGTTTTCTCTAGTAACCAAGTAAGAGAAAGAACAAGACTGGAGTAATGGGATCATCTTCAGTACACAAAGAACAGCTATAAATGACCACAAACAAAAGCCAAAAGTCCATAAGGGAAGACATCCATGGGGCATCAAGTACAGAACTAAAAAGGAGCTGTAATTTCTAAGCAACACAATGAAGAGCATTTCAGCAATGCCCCATTCCCTCCCTTCGAGTTGGTTTTCCAGTCGTTATGCTAGTCTGTCTACAATCATCGCCATATTCTATTAGGTGCCATCTTTGCTCCCCAGTTATTCCTTTTTCTGGCGAAGAAACAGTCAATGATTTTTTACAGTTATTGGAGTGATAACTGTTTTGTTCTTGATCCAGATCCTTAGCTTAGGCATCATTAGTGTTAGGAAAAATGCCGCTCACAAAAAAAGCTCACGAGAAAATCTCACATCCAAGAGCAGAGTTTTAATGACAGGCACGAGCCACGTGGCTGACCCGGGAAAGATGGCCCAGGAAGAGAGAGTCCGGCCAGGCATGGCCTTTTATAGAAGAGGGAGGGTAAGAGGTTGGCACATGCACAGAGGTCCCTGATGGGGGTGGAGCTTGGGTGGAGCTTGTCGGGACGGGAAATTTTGTTAAAGGGCAGGGCTGTTTATTGGGAATGGCTCCATTTTCCAAGAGGTGAGACCTGAGGATAAAATGGCCACTGATTTATAAAATGGCTGCTGATTTATAAAATGGCAGCATTATTGTTCTATCAATTAGCATTAAAAACTAAACATCAGCATGATGTCCAAGAGTTTTATGACTCCATTGAAATCCTCGGTCCAAGCTTGATTTGAATAGAACAGTATTTTGCTGAAAAGTAATTATCAATAGTAGGCTGCATTTTGTTCAAATCAAAGCAATGCTAAAGAACTCTCTCAGACTGGAGGTGTGAATCAAGCTCTAGCATTCCTGCTTAACAGGTTGGGTACCAGCCCTAGTACCACCACTAAAAATAGAAGAAAGAAAGAACCATCTCCTAAACAAAAACCTGTACAAAGAAAAAACTCAGAATGCTTAAATGGGAACTGCAGACTACCCTTCATCTTCCAGACAATCTTTCAGATGGCCTTTTGTTATCCCTTCTCTTAGCAAACCCTGGTAGTTTAGTCCCAATCTTGTGACTCTCCTCCTACCTCCCTCCATGCTTTGGCTGCTTCCCAAAGTCTATTATCTTGTATTTTTAAAAATAACCCTTTTTCCTGGGAATGTTGGGAGAACAGTGAAAGGAGAGGAGAGGGAGATCTGTCAAAATGTTGGCAACATCAAGCAAAACTGCATTGAAGCATGCATATTTAAAAGAATATGCAATAGGAGCAGATGAACTCCTAGGCAACCCAGATTCTCATTTCATGCAAATGGAGCCAGTAATTAAAAACCATAAAAGGAAACAACAGGAAAATGTCACATTTCAGAGGCATTGGAGTTGTTCAGGAAAGCCGATGTTGTTCTGGTATTTCTTACTTAATCTATAGGACTGAAAGTTGTTTATGGTTCTTCAGGCTTGCAGCAACCAAGTGGCCAGAAGAGTTAAATGATATTCCCTACTCCTCCACTCCTCATTTAGTTCCTAACACAGTGTTTACGGCACCAGATTAGTATTTTGGAAACTGAAAATTCATTTATTCAATTAGCAGTTACTGTGTGCCCACAAAGGTATACATAACAAATGTTCTGGGTAACTTTGTAGACTGTTAATTACCCCTGCCTTTAAGGAGTTTTGCTGTTTGGTGTCCAAGAATGACTTTATAACAATTATATTATCAGATGCATATTATATTATAACAATTATATTTATCAGATGCATATTAGGCAGCTGAGATTGGAGTTCTAAAGAGAAGTCTGGTAAAAAATTACAATTTGAAATGACTAGCCTATAGATAATACTTAAAACTGAAAGATCAGGTGAGAACACCAAGAAAATGAATGCAAATGAAACATTTTTTTAATTGTAACAATGATAATGCTGATGGTGATACAGAATGTGATAAAGAGAAAAAAATGTGTACGAATGAGAGAGTGTGTGAGTGCATGTGCCAAGAACAGCATTTAAATTCTCTGATTTTCTAAAAATGAAACAAAAAACTAAATCAATCCAAACTTCAAAAGGAATGAGTGCAGTTAGCCCTAAAGGAGAATTACCCAACAGTGAGAACTATGGATGTAAGTTGGAGCCACCAATCTCTAATACCAGTTTTTTGTTTGTTGGATTCTTGTCCAGGGTTGGTCAAAGAATGGCAAGCCCTGACAATGGGTGAGTGGGAAGTGAGGAAGTTTATTGACGTCAAGAAAGACAGGCATGGAGGGACTCAGAAAGACTGAGCTGTGGCAACTGCATTGTCTAGAAATTTTTACTTAGTTTTTGTGTGCTTTTGGGGGAGACTACAAGACCCTGGAAACAGCTTCTGATAGGTGGGCCCTTGGTTGAGCCCTTATCCCCTCCCTATCCTGAGCCCACATGTACATTCTCAGGGTCACCTATGCTATCTCTGTTCTCTTGCCTAACATCTGATTCTTGCTGACTTTAACTGCTCCTTTGTGGCCCCCAGCCTTAACATCTCTATGGAGGAATGATTTCCCCATAAAGAACAATTCAATTCTGCTTCCAGTCATTTATTATAATTCTGTTGGTGGAGGCCAAGTGGAGAACAGAACCATTACCATTGCCACCAAAACTGAATAAAAACAGTAGACTGTGATCCTTCTTCCTCTGGAATGTTATCTACCCAAGATATTGTTACGTGCTGGGGTCAAACTGGCTCGTGAGGCAGCTGAATGATGAGCCAAAGTTGGTATATAAAGCAGGATTTATTAGAGAGAAAGGAAAGGCTACAGCTAGGGAAGCGCAGTGGAGCCCAGAAGCTGGTAGCTCGCTGCTCAGGTGAAGGCTGGGGTTTTTATGGACGTTTTAACTCTGGGTTATGTGGGTTTTTCTCATTGATCATGGATTCCCGGGCTTTCTCAGGTGAACTGGTTTGGTGTGCACCTTTATTGGGGGAGGGGAAACAATCTTGAGAGCATTTTGCTCATCAGCCCTGTGGCAGATCTACAGGCTCTGTATCTCTCCTTTAGGATGCAAGAATGCAGGCCTCCATCTCCTTAGGATGCAGGAATGATATCGCCCTCCATGGGGGAAATGGGATACTCACTCATTTGCCTTAGGTCTCCGGACCCAACAATATTAAATCCCTCTTGGGTTAACAAGGTAGCTCTCTTTATTTTTGCTACTTTTAGGAAAGGACAACAAGATGCTCATGACATTCATTTATAACAGTGATAGGTCCTCCCAATGATGGAATTAAACATGGTAATTTTGGAAGCAGTGAATGAAGACAAGTATTCAATTCTCATATTAATCAAACATTGATAGGCCTATAAACTATAAGGCGCTTAAGATTCCTAAGGAGTGGGAAATATGAAATGAGATCATCACCCTTAAATATCATCAAAGTAGCTGGGAAAAAGATTTAACTTTACAGAGGTAGGCTGATATACCTTCTGCATGTCCCAATGTCTTTTTCATTTTCCTTAACACCAGTTTTGAGATAACCATGGGCATACATTCAAAAACACCATAATGGAAACTTGCATAACAAATGCCAAAACAAAAATTTGGTCATATTGTCAAACATTATAAAGCCTTGGAGATACTGAATAGTTATTTTAACTTTCTAGTTTTGGGTTTTTGGAGAGATTCAATCTCCCGAAACAGAGTCAGGGACAAGGAGACAAACAAATACAACTGTTATAATAATAGTTATTTTTCAGTATTTCTTACATCTAGATTGAGGCTCAAGGGCCCCAAGGTGGAGAGTAAATAGTTGTTAATGACTGCTTTATTAAAAACACATATAAAATACCGCAGTTGCCAAATGGAAAAGGATGAAGTCAGTGGTAAAACACATCTTACTATGAGGCTGCAGAGATGGCTAACTGTTAGAAGAACAAAAAGAAGAAAAATGAAAACTCCCCACTTAAAATATAGATCCCTTTTCTATCATTTTAGAATGAAAATAAATTACTACATATACATATATGTGGAGAAGGAGATGCACATCCAATTTTCTTTCACTTATTTCTTTTGCTTTTATTGTTGAAGAAATTATAATTAAACCCAGCTGAGCAAAGTGAGTAGCTGGTATGCTTCCAAATTCCCCACCCCCACCCCCACCCCCATCCCCACCCCCCCAGAGCTGGAAGAGCAAATATGAAATGCTGAAACATAGTTTTTCAATGCTGAATTACTTGCTGGAGCATTTGTGAGAAACTGCAATTAGGTGTTTCACGATACCATTGGTCTACACAAAGAACAAAAACAGCTCTTATTCTATGGAGTTTGGACAGTGGGCTTTTTTTTATTTTAAGCTATACATATTCAATAAATAAATAGCTATTTACAAAGGCATTTAAAGTTCTCTGTGGTTACCAAAAAAGTAAGCGGTCAGTCTTGCTTTTTCTATGCTTTTAGATTATTTTGGGGGAAGAAACACTTCTTATTTAATCATGCTGTCATAATAAATACTCAGAGTGTGTGCTCTCACATCGCAATTACCACCATAAAGGGCAACCACTGTAAATAAGTGTGGTGATATGAAAATACATTCCCTTGTGAGTTTTTTGTAGCTGAAACCTTTTATAGTAATAGGGTACCAAAATAAAAACCAGAAGAAAATACAAATGTGTGTTATAAACCCTCAGCAGCTATGCTTATATTCTCAGATTACTTAGGACAAAAGGAATCTTTCTGCTCTCCATAGCATTTCTGCAGTATTGCAAGTGATAAAGAAGAATGGTTGTCAGGATTCATGGATAAACAAACAAAATTTAACAGACAAAAAACACTGAAGAATTGTGAGACAAATGAAAGCAACCCATTGTTCCTGGAGCATAAAGAGGCATGGAAAGGCTGGTTGAACTCTGTATGCATCTTACTCTTCCTTTGTAGCACTGCTTTTGTTCACATTAGAGATGGTAATTAATGCTCATTAGCATACATTAGCAAATGTTAATTGGCATCTTCTAGAAAACAAAAGGCATTGGGGGCAGGAGAGAATCAGGAAAAGAGGGCTTAGTGGTTAGAGAAGGGCTGCAACTAAAGACAGAGACAGAAGGAGGAAAATGGATGATACTTGGATTTGTAGCATTCTAGAATCTGTAAGAGCTGTCTTTCTAATAAATAGTAATAGCACCAAGAAGGATTTAGTTCTATTTTAAAAAACAGAAAAGGAAAAGAAAAAGCAAGTCAGCAACTAGAATGAATCATTCTTTTTTCTCTCTTCTAGTTCTTTGGGGGGAAAATCACTTTGTAGGATTTGCTAACCAATTGTAAGAGGTGCTCAAACTGCTTTTGCTGAAAAGCATGGAATCCTTACTTGGGCCCATGAATTAACTAAAAAGCAGGACAAAAGCATAGCATCTGTCCTCTATTTTGTGTCTGTCTTTGCTCTGAGCCATTCTCTCTGAAGTCACCTTGCAACCACTTAGGAATTTAGGAAGGACAGGAATGGTGATAACATCTTCATGACAAGGGACAGAAACTACTTCCAACATAGACTTCCTCAGGATGGACCACCTGCTGGAAGCTGTCCAGAACAAAGACTGAGATAGTGGCCAACCAGGCCACACCTGTGATTGAAACTGTTTAATTATGCATACATTTTGTCCCCTGCTCCTACATCTTTGTCTATTTAAACCTGTAGCCCATGTCTGTACCCCAAAGATGGCTGAGAATGGGCTGAGTGCTATTCCCCTCCTCCCACAGCATATTTAAGCTGTGTACCAAACCTTCTTTCTCTGCCTTCACTATGCCTCTTTGTTTGGCATAAATGGACCTGGCATACAGAATCTCAGGAGTTTGAGCCTTGGATCCAAAGCCCCTTTCACAACCAGGAATATCAATTAAAATAGTCATACCTTACTGAAAAAAAATTCTGCATGTTAAGTCTTCATAAATTCATCAGAATTGTGACCATCTTTCTACACCCCATTTTTTTTTCTCCACAGACTTAGCTTACAATATTCAGTAAGACTTAGGCTCTAGATAATTTGTAAATGGTTTGTAATTTTATTAAAATAGTTGACCCAGAATGTGATGAGTGTGTTAATTTATATCCCAGAGGCAACTGAGTACTCTAGTTAGTTTTACACAATGTTAGAATGGAGATTTAACATTTGAGAGATTCTAGTCTGAAACACTTCAGCCATCTCTGCCTCAGATAGACACCAGCTTTGTTAATTGGAATAATGCTTATTAGAAGTAAATTTTATGAATTAAATGTGATCAAGGCACATAGGCTAGGTAAAAACATCATTTCTGCCCTCTGTCCTAATATCCATAAGGACAGAAAACTTTTGGAATTGGAGGTACTTTTGCTTCTTAATGGGGAATTTGTTGGCTGATGTGTGCTGTCCAAGTGGTTCAAGTGATGGAGCACCTGCTTAGCCAGCATCAGATCTTGAGTACAAACCCTAATACCACCAAAAGAAAAAAAGACTTCCATGAAGTAGGTATTATTATTCTCATTCTCCAGATGATGAGGAATCAAAAAACTAGAAGATAAATGAGTAGACAGTCTCACATAGTAAGTTAGAGAACTGAGGTTTGCCTTGAAGTCATGCCAAACCCATTACCAAAGGCCTATGGCTATATATCCTTCATCTGTCTTTTCTTAGAGTTACCAGTGTCAACATCACAGACAAGTTACCACCTCCTCTTCCTAGGAACACTGACTTATCTCCTCTTCCCATGCAATCCATTTTCCATGCTGTATCCCACTGCCTATAGTCACAGATGCAATTTTACATTTATTTATTGGATTGTTTCTGTTTGGTCAATATAGAAACAACTAACTTTCTGTGCATTAAGGAATCCTCTTTACAATATCCAATAAGTTAAATATTATCATCTGTATTGCCTTGACAGTAGAAGTAAAATGATATTTTAAAAACTCAATAAAACTTTGATATTGTCAAAGATCTAGGAGTCTACCAAGAATCACTAAAATTGGGACAGGCATGGTGGAGCATGCTTGTAATTTCAGCTGCATGGGAGGTGGAAACTGGGAGTATCACAGTTCAAGACCAGTTTGACAAAAAGTTAGTGAGACTCCATGTCAACAAACAAGCTAGGCATGGTGATAGGAATCTATAATCTCAGCTACGTGGGAAGTATAAGTAGGAAGACTACAGTCTGAGGCTTGTTTGGAAAAAGGCACCAAGATTCCATCTGCAAGGTACTGCTGAATAAAGACCATGCCATGTGTGGAAAAGAAAGATTTATTAGGAACCAGACCTCAGGGCTGTCACTCTCGGGTTCAGAGTGAGGCGGCTTGGCTGAAATGAGTAGTGGGCTTTATAGGAGGGCCAAGCCATGGGGGAGGGAGAGAGTCTCTGGCCTCCAATTATCTACAATTGCCAGATGGAACAGGTCAACATGCCTGGCTATTTGAGTAACTGGAAGATCCTGAGGTGTTTTGCAAGCTGAGAAACCATCAGGCAGGGAAACAACCAGGGGAGAAACAAGTGGTCATAAGTCAGGGGGTCTGGTTTTGGTGCTAGCCTCGGGACCTTCTGCCTGCCCCAAGAATGCCAGGGACTAACACCATCTGAAAAATAGTCTGAGGCAAAGAAGGCTGGCAGCATAGTTCAAAGGCCTTAAGTTCAAACCCCAGTACCACCAAAAAAAAGGAATCACTAAAATCATATTCCATTATAGAAAGGAATGAGTCATTATAGGTTTTTCTAAAATATTATTGATAAATATATTATTTACATCCCCCAAATTTTTCATATTGAAGCCGATCTGCCAATATACTGACATTATAGGTGGAAGCCTTGATAGGTGATTAGGTCATGAAGTGAAGCACTCATGAATGGACTAGGCCCTTAAAAGAGAGACTCCAGAGACTTCCCTTGCCCATTCTACCATGTGAGGGCGTAGCAAAACATCATTTGTGAACCAGAAAGTGAAATCTCACCAGAGTTTCTTGTACTTCAGAATTGTAAGAAACAAATGTCTGTGGTTTTTCAGCTACAGAATATTTTTTAGCAGTCTGAGAATACAAAAATAATTATATATTGCATTTTGTACAAAAAACAAATGCTTTGGCTTAACTGAAGCCAGAAAGGGAAAAGGACATAGAAGAAAGTAGATTGGATGATGAGACAGAAAGAGAGAGAGAGAGAGAGAGGGAGAGAGAGAGAGAGAGAGCGCCACAGACCAGCATAAACCTTTTGGAGTCAGCAAATAGAGGGCTAGAGAGAAAATCTTGAGTAAAGAGAGAAGGTTATATTTACCATATAAATGCTGGACATGATGAGAACTTAAACACCAGAAGAAAATGAACATGTTTGCCATACATAAAAGATTATTGTAAACATAAGACAAAAATAGGAGTCACGCATTGAATAAGTACACTTTTGACCAGAGGCAGGAAATGAGAACCTTTGGGGTCAAGTATGTTGAAAGCTTGAAAATGGAAGAACATTGAATGAAATGTAATGGGTTTTAGATGAAGGAATAAGAAAGAAACTGGGTATATACAGACTTTAATGTGGTAAAGGTGGAGAAAGGTACAAACGTACTGATAAATTGCTTTTACCACCACATACATATGTGACTAAAATAGACAATAATGGTAATGTTATGGGACTAAAGAAAGGAATTCCTGTGTGATCATTTTCCTGGAATATTTTTGGTCATGGCTATTAAATATGGTACTTGAAGATTACAATTAAGCATTTCAAATTACCTTACTTTCTGAAGCACATGAGAGTCAAAATAGTCAAATACTGCATCTCACAAGGGTTAACCAACTCCTAGGTAAAAATGATAACTCCATGAAAAACATAATATGGCCTGTGAGAATGGAAATAAAATATAGAATATGTGTGTATATATAAACTATGGAGTATGTGTGTGTAATTATATATATATATATATATGTGTGTGTGTGTGTGTGTGTGTGTTTTAATGTTAAAAAATATCAAGACTCTTTATGCCATGTACTGTACAACTACTCTCATTTAATTTCATATTTATAACAACATAAGATTACTAGCACTATATTCCAGCAAGAAATCCAAGGTTTAGGACTGATGGTTGAGAGACTGCTCCACAAGCTCAAGAACCTGAGTTTAAACCCCAGTACTGTCAAAAAAGAAAAAGAAAACTGAGGTTTAGAAAACTGAATTGGCTTGCTAAAGTCTACACAACAAGAAAGTGTCATAACTAGAGCTCAGTCTCATAAGCATGATCATGAACTTCAAAATCAAAGTTCCTAAGCAAAATAAGTTATAATGTCTAAGGTAGAACATTGTCTTCAAAGTGGAAATGGGTAAATTAATTCAGAAAACATGCAAGGTTTGCCTGTTCCTGAAGAGACTGACTACTGAGATCAATGCATTCTAGTTCAGCTCTATCATTCTGTAAAAGAAACTGGAAAAACACAAGTCTAATGACTTGCTGAAGATCATATCATTAATTTGTGGCATAACAAAGATTTAAATCTGAGTCCTCCATTTCCACATCCAATGGTTGTTTTTAAACCATGCTGCCTCAGTTACAGCCATTGCAAAAGGTATGACATTTAGTTATAAAATCAACAATGATAAATGCACACAACTGATTTCATAATGAAACACATACCTAGATTTGTATTTGGATTCCTGCCACCAATTTCATTCTGTACATGGGCAAAAGCTGGTAAAAACTAAATGCCACACTTTATTCAGTAGACTTTATACATCTTAGCACTCTCATAGTGTTTTATTCAGAACTTTAACACAGCAGATGCTCAATAGATGCTTGAGCTAGATTTAACCCAGAAAATGAGAGGGAAGGTCAAAATACCAGTCTGTTTCTAGAGAAAATTATATTGAAAATGAAGCAATCCAGTATTTTCTAACAGTATTGGTTGTGGAAGAGTAGAGAACAAGGAGGGAATTAGTAATTGATCACATAATCTGAGCTTTATTATAGGAACAACCCTTTCTAATGTCATTCAATAACTATATATTGATCATCTACCCTGTGCAAGGCTCAATATCAAATATCATAGAGAATGCCTGGATTAGCAAAAAAGTGGTGAAGGTTAAATTTATGTGTCAATTTGACTGGGCCACAGGGTGCCCAAATATTTGATTAAACATTATTCTAGATATGTCTATATATGAAGATGTTTCTAAAAATGATTAACATTTGACTTGGTAGACTGAATAAAGCAGATTTCCTTCCTAGTGTCAGGAAACTTCATCCAATCCACTGAAGGGCTGAATAGAACAAAAGGCAGAACAAGAGAAAATTTGGATGATAATAATATTCTGCATATATGCATATGAAGACAGAATGAAACCTATCAAATACTTATAAAGGAGGGAGGAGTGGGGAATGGAAAAATAATGGAAGGGGTAAATTTGTTTGAGTTACATTGTAGCATGTATAAAATTATCACAATGAAATCCCCTCATATTATTAATGTATACTAACTCAAAAATAAAATTTAAAAAATAAAGGTAATTGCATAGGAAAAAGAGAGAATTTTCTTTCTTTGCCTGAAGTCTGTGAGCATTGAACTTCTGCCCTTGAACACTAAATTGGAATAAATAATATTGGATCTCTTGGTTTTCATGCCTTCTTAGGCACCATGAGTCAATTCTTTATGTAATATATATTATTTATATGTATATAATCCTATTATTTATTATATTGTATATCATATATACTATTATTTCTGTTTCTCAGGAGAACCCTGGCTAATAGAGAATTTCTGCCTTTAAAACTACTTTCAATAGAGAAGCAAATATAGTAATCTTAAAGTGGCAGAAGCCACTATCAGAAGGGGACCGGAAAGTAGCAAAGAGGTCTGGTAGAGATGAACTAATGTGGGTTGTAACACACATGTGCATGGAAGT